GGGGGGGGGGGGGAGGGGGTACACTCATGCTTGTGCATGCCTTCACTATAAGACCATTGACCACGCGTTCCTCGAGAGGATGAAGCATTGTACTCACATGACCGATCACCGATGGCCAATCTAATCTTCCTTCCAGGAGGGGGGGGGGGGGGGGGGGCTTCTCCAACAGTCATTTTCCGGTTATTGTTTTGTTTGGTAAAAAAAATGTCGTTTTGTTTCCGGCGCTGTGCGTACGTGCCTGGTGTATGGGTGCATCGAGCCTTGGTGTTCCAGAAGGAATAACATAAAAAACAAAAAAGGGAGCAGCAACCATGGACCGTAAAGGTGCACTTTGAGTTGTTTGTTTTCAAATCGTGACCGAGGATCGCACAAATGGGTATTACCGCGTCATTATGATTTTTGGTCTGTTGATCGTTTTAGTTCTCGAACCATTTTAGCTCCCAACAAGCCAATTGCACCGCGCGTTGACTGTTTTAGCCACCCAGCTAACTAACCAGTTGCACGGCGCGATGTTTTGTTTTTTTGCCCCCCAACCAACCAATTCCCCCTCCCCCGGTGTTTGCCATCGGGGTTGGGTTTTCGTCGCTTGGCAACGACGTTGTAAAACAAGCCAATTCACTTCGTGAACTCGGCAACCAGGTTACCGTTTTTTTTTTTACCTCTGTTTCTTTTTTTTTGGCGGTAACCATAATGGTGGTCGAGTAGATCATGTTGTGCGGGGTCGAGAACCCTCACTCCGCGCAAGGGGGATGATCGCACCACGTTGTGTTAAGATGGTCAATCACCCTCGAGGCAGTTACACAGTGCTCACAACTGTCTCTGGAAGTGAAAGCACCAGAAAATAAATCGAGTCATACGCAGCTGTTATCCGCACGCAAGGAAGTGAGCACAAGATGCCGAACACCCTTAGCAGGATGCAGCGCACCCTTTATGCAACTCGCAGAATATCTCACGGCGCTTCGCGCTTGGTGATGTGAGAGCCTGGTCCGGTGAGAACCCGGCGTGCCCCGTCCNCCCCCCCCCCCCCCCCAACTAACCAATTTGCGCGGCCCGTCGACTGTTTTAGCCCTCCAACTAACCAATTGCGCGGCGCGTTGGGTGCTGCGCATTTGTTGGCAGGCCTTCGCCCAGAGGCTACACGCGAGAGGTTTTCCCTACGTGTCCATCTTGGAGGGAGGCATGGAAGGCATCGTCGAACACCTCAAGAAGGAGGGGATGTGAGAAAAAACTCGCCCTCTCCCAACGATGATCGCTACTACTGCTGTGGATTGTTCTGAAAAGCAGCGGCAGCTTCGTTGTAGGTTTCCTTTGTTGTACAGCATGCGTAGGTGCCGATTGTGTGCGGCCGGGCGAACGCGGCCACGTGGCCACCGCTGGTGGCTGTCGAATGGCGTGCCAGAGGGCAAGAAGTAATCGCTTGCGAGAGACGCGTGTTACCGAACGTTTGGAGGCCGGCTCCGCGTTGAGGACGGGAGCGGTGACGCTGCTTTGCCCGGACCGGCCGCATGCGCATCCAGTCATCTCGGAGAATTCCACTCCCGGGAACAACACTCTTGACTATCTATGGGTATCGACCCACCGCCCGTAGGATGGATACCGTTCGCAGGAAAAAACCCTGCGACTATATGGGAGTATCGATCCCCGCTCTCCCCCACCGCATGCCGTCATTTCTCGCGGCAGCCCCCTGGAGCCTACGGTTATCGACCACGACCCGGAGGCGTACCAGCGTTGGAGAGAGGCCCAAGCCCGCCGCCTGGTGGCAGCGCTGCCCCCGGAAGGCCAGCGTAGGGAATCCGCCAGCAGGTGTGTGTGTTTGTGTGTGTGTTGTTTTTTGTGTGTGTTTGTTTTTGGTACTAGCATCGACTGCGCTAGCCGACTGGCCGATGAAATCATGGTAGTCTCAGTGTCGCTATAAACAGAAGCTGCTTCGAAGATCATGGACCCCGTGAGGGGCCCTCATGTTTGTGTGTGTGTCTTGTTTCTTGTGGGCAACTTCCGTGGTGACCGACCGACCAATGAAAAGACGCCAGTCTTGTAGCGGGATATCACAAACACTATTAATAGCATTTTCTATTCAAATGGTGTGTGTGTTTTCTTCTTTTTCTTGTTACTTAGTGTTACAAAACTAATCCATCTATTGCCATAGATAATGAATTATGTGTGTCTTCGAATTTGCATGGACCGCGCTAGCCGGCTGAACAATCCAAAAATGTGTGTGTATGTTTTTGTTTTGAATTGACAGCGCAAAGGAGGCGGCACGCCGATGTTATTGGAGAGTGAAGCCAAGCCTCCACTTCAACACACCACCGGGAATAGCCCAAACGCAAGCCAGCAAGCCAGACAAGCAGTTGCGGCCCTGTGCCCTGCCTTGCCCTGCCTTGCCCTGCCCTGCCCTAAACACTTAAGCCAAGATGGTAACAGCCTTCCCTGCACCTACAGTATCTATGTTCCTGACTATGATGAAATGACGTGAAATGGTCACGAACAGCGAGCCACGCCAGTCAGAATCGGGACCAGCGGTAGCACAAACAGCAAACCAGCATGGATGAAAGAAACAACCTGAAATTTTTGGACTGTTGGTGAGGTAGCTAGCTGGCCACCTGACGGGAAATTCTTTCCTCCTGCACCGATACCAACGGCGATTGGGAAAGGTAGCTCTAGAGCGAACAATCGTTTCTTTGCCGCGCGTCACCCCCCCGTTGGGAGCAGGGCAGGAGAGGCGTTTTCCTGGAGGGGAGAAGGGGACGGCAGAACCGGCAACAGCAGCAACAGCAACAGCCACTACAGCGGTTCTTCCTCCCCATCTCATCAGCACGACGGGCTCCAGCACCAGCGAGAGGAGTACAGCGGAGGCGGTGGGGGTGGGGCGGCGGAAGGTGGGGGGGGAGTGCATCCTGGTCAATCGAAAGTCGGCGTTCTCGACCGGCTCGGGCTGGTGAGCTGAGCGCATGCGTTTCGAAATGGTGGAGTGCAGCTGGTTATTTTTGAGATCATAGGGCGGGACAGGTCGGTCGCCTTGAAAACGTGGGAAAGGCTTGTCGTCGTCATTGTGTTGAACGTTCTCTGGTGCTCGGGATTGTGTTTGTTTCCCTTCTTTTTGGCCTCGATGCGGAGGCGTGCTTTCCTCCGGTGTGTACAAGCACATACATGGGCTTGGAGGGCCGAAAGACGAAAGTGGGCTGTGATCCATTAACAGCTATTACCACTTAATAAGCGGTTCGATGGGTTTATCATTCTCACGACTGACGCCTGTGCACGATGGGAAAACGGGTGAGGCTTTCATCTCGGGGCCTCGAGTCCTTGCGTGGCTTCGCGCCTTGTCCCCTTGTCAGTGTCTCCTGCGGAGCGCTTGATGGAGCGTTCTGATGACGGCACGCGTCGACTTGGGATTTCCACCAACCGGAACATTTCTGAAAACATATAATATATTCCTGAAGTATTTCGACCAAGTATTGACCGTGCAGAAAATTGCGGGGACCTGTTTTGCCCGTGTCCTCCTCCCCGGTGGGCCTGTCGAAAGTAAAAAGTTCCGATTCCATGCACTAATCAAAACCCGTGCTAGGTTAACGAAAGAAAAATGGGTTGAGCCTTTCCAGAAGATGTTGTCACCCCCCTGGATGCAATTAGGTACCTGTCGGTGAGGGACTTTGCCCCACCATACAGAAAATTCATTTTTTCAAACGTAAGAATGGACCAAACATATTTTTGTTGCGTAATCAACCGTATCCCTTGTCCGCTCGGTCTTTTGGTCCGTCTCGACACGAAAAGGTGCGAGTGAGGGACGGCGTGAGCCACGGCGTGGGCACCGTGGCCCGGACGGGGGCCTGGGCCGTTCGAGGCGGCGCGGGCATGATAATCCCGTCCGCTCTCTCCGCCGACAGCGGCGACATGGTCCACCCGCAGGAACGGGAGAAGGGCAGGTATGCGTTGGTTGTGTCTTGCCCCGTGGACTTTGTGTTGACTGCTGTGGCGGTGTCGAAAAAGAGTTCAATCGAAAGTGTTGTGGCAATGATTTTTTTTTTGCTTCAGTGTGCTCAGAGGTGTCCGGGTTGCTTGGTTCGCCCTATGTTCGACGCGGTCTGTTGGACGCAGTCTAATGGACACGGTTCATGCGACGCAGTCTATTCGACGCGGTATGATTCGACGCAGTCATTCGACGCGGTGCAATTCGACGCAGCCATTCGACGCAGCCATTCGATGCAGTCTATTCGAGCACAGCCTATTCGACGCGGTATATGCGGAGGGCACGCATCATGTCGCCTTTATTCGGCGTCACCTTCACTCTTTTTTGGTCCTTGGAGCAGCAGAAAACCGCGCCGCGGGAGAATTCCTCCGGGATGAGGTGGAGAAACGGTGTGTGAAGAATTTTCGCGCGACGACGGCAGCGTGAAGACAACGGCCGGTGTAACAGTCTTCTCTGCGGCCGCGCATGCCGCGCGTGCTCGGAAAGTAGCTCCCAACCACCCTCTCTCACCGTAAGCGCTCGCATCTATCGTCGAGTCTGTTCAGGTTCCGTGGACAAACCGCTCCCAGAGGTCACGCGAGAACGGAGAGCGGAAACATCTGGGAGGACGAAGAGGGTGCCAATGGTGGCGGTGGCGGCGGGTTGAACAACCTGATGAACGGGGGACTCGTGGACAGCAATGATGTGAAGGCCATCTTGGGAGCGGTGAAGACCGCGCAGGTGCGAAGAACGCCGTGGTTCCACCACCACCAACCCCCCCCCCCCCCCCCCCCCCCCCCCCCCCCCCCC